ACAGCAATGTTGGACTGTTAAGAATTTGCTAACATTTAGAGATGAACTAAATGCAATTTGTATAATGCAATAAACACAGCCTTTTGGCATACAGAGAAAGAATGTTATCATTTACACCTAAAATGTCTTTTCTCAGATTTATGTGTTTTGAAGCTGACTGGGTCATGGGGGTGCTATAGTAATCAGTGGATGCATTCATTGATAAATCCAGTGGCTGACTGTGCTGTGAGGAAATGTGGCTTTGTTAGAGGTGGTGCTGGAGCAATGACCTGGAAAGGTCTCATCTTGCCCTGGTTTCTCCCTGTTCTCTCTGCCTCTTGGCTGCCACAGGTGAGCAGTGTTCCTCTACCATGACCTTTTGCCATGAGCCCAGCCTACCATGGACTGAATTTGCCAAAACCATAAGCCAAGTTAAACCTCTCTTTAAGTTGTTGGTGTCAGGAATTTTGTTCTAGTGACAGGAAAGCTTATTAATGCAATGACACAAACTGCATAAAATGTTGAAGACAATTTTTTTCTAATTAAATATGACTGACAAACTTGGCTAAATATTGCATGATTTTATTTAGATAGGGTACCCTAGCAAATTGAAATTCAGGGACAGATAGAAGTTACCAAGGGCTGCAGGGAGAAAAGAATAAGAATTTTTGTTTAAAAGGTATAGTTTGAAGTCTGGTATGATTAAAACAATTCTGAATGTAAAAAATAATGATCATTATACAATAATTTGAATATATTTAATGCCACTAGACTATAATACAAAAATAGCTAAAATTATAAACCTCATATCATTAACATTATGTTATGTATATTTTAACATCACCAAAACACATTTAAGAGTAAAACAATTTATAATCAACCAGTAATTCCACTCGTAGGCATTTGCTCAAGAGAAAGGAAAACGTAGCTCCGAAAGTTTTTTAAATAATATTGATAGAAGGATTAGCTCATAATAACTACAAATGGAAACAAGCAACTGTTCAACTTAGAAACAAAATATGCTGTGTCTACTTCTATATAAATCTGTCTATCCACGTGCACATCTCACACATATACAGGCTTCACACACATTTATGAGTACAGCTAGTGATGAAAAAAGCGACTGAACAACATGGGTAAACCTTGTAAGTATAATGTTATGTGAAAAGGGATGATTTCAATTTAACTTAATGTTTTAAGTTCAAACAGAAAGCAATCAGTAGATTGGTGGTTTCCTAGGCCCAAGGTTGCCATACAATGGCTAAAAAGTATATATTGAGGAAAATGAAAGTACTTTAAAACTTGGTTGTAATGATAGTTGTATGGTACTACAAACATATTTCAGCAAACTATACACTTAAAAGGACAAGTTTTATGTCATATAAAGCTGATTAGAAGCAGCCTACCACAGACTGTACCCTCTAAATCTGTAAACAAAAAAAAATTAAACATTATGGGCCAACTGATCTGGTGGAGAAAATTTTAAAGCAGCCCAGCACTCAGGTTATGGCACAGGTACTGCTGATTGCTTTAAGCCAGATATGTAGTAAGAATTGAACAAAAAGCAGAGCAGAAATGTGAAATTCCTTACATTTTGGCTGGAAAGGATCTACTGAAGCTGTAACCAAAGGAAGAGTGGTTGCTGAGCAGACTAGCACCATTATAAAAAAAATCAAGTACTCTGTACAGGGACAAAAAGAAAGGTGTACAAGATAGCTATATGATGTTAGGTATAATGAACTTGTCATTGTCTTTATTTAGAGATTAAGTATGGTTAAGGGAGATACGTGTGAATGTCGGGTTGATAAAGGGCAGAATATGATGCTAGTGCAACTGTCAACCTGATGTGCTCACAAGCCACTTGGGGGGATCACTAAGGCACACTTCTGGGTGTGTCGGGTAGGTCACAGCGGTGTGACCTTGGGCACTATGTCTGGTCCCTGGCGTCTTCCTCCTGAAGCTTTCTTATGCTCCGCTTTCCATCCACCAGGAATGTAGTGGGTTCTGTTATGACTTTCCTGCCTTGGGCCCAGCTGACCATGGACTGAAACCTCTCTTCTCCAAGTTGCATATGTTAGGAATTTTTTCCCAGTGATGAAAATCTGACTAGTAAAATGGTCCAATCGTATTTATTTTATGGATATAGTACATCTTATTCATTCATTAATGAGTTGACAAACGTGTGGGTTGTTTCTACATTTTCACTATTATAAAAAGTACTGCTATATAAATATATGTGTACGATTGATAAGTCATCTTCTGACTCTGCTTAACCATTTGAGGATCTTGCTGACTAGGTTTCAATATGACTGTCAACATTTTACATTCCTATCACTGATGTACGAGGGCTCTAGTTATTCCATACTGTCTCCTATGCATTTATAAATAATCATTCTTATTATAGCACTCCAAATGGGCAACATCTCATTATGTAATATATCTCATTAAAGTAATATCTCATTATGGGTTTGGTTGATACTTTTCTGACTAATGATACTGAACATCATTCAATGTGTTTACTTGTTATTCTTGTATCTTTTTTAGAGCTAGATCTATTCTGATTCATTCCTTTTTAAATTGGCTTATGTGTCTTTTTTATTGCTGAGTATAAGAGTGCTTTATCATGGATATAAGTTTCTTACAAGAGGTATAATTTGCAAGTACTTTCTTCCACTATGTAGATAGTCTTCATTTGATAGTGTTCTTTGTAGCAAGAATTTTTTTGTTTTGATAAAGTACAATTTATTTATTTTTCTTTTGTTGTATTTTGTCTCTGATATGATATGTAAGAACCACAGCCTAGTCCAAGGGCATGAATACTTATGCCTATGTCCTCTTCTACATATTTTATAGTTTCAGTTATTACATTTAGATCTTTGATACTTTTTGCATATGTTTGAGGTGAAGTCCACAGACCTCTATGAAAGATTAAGGGCCGAGGTTCTAGGAACTGGAAACCTAATGAATAAAGTAATTTTTCATTGATTTTGGTGCTGGTTGAAGCTACATGAATAACTCATGCAGCTATGCTTTTCTGCCAATACACAGTCACTTATTTCTGTAGTCTTTCTTTGAAGAAAAGGAGCAGGTCTGGCAGTAATGAGACATGGAAAACAGGACATATTTTACTCAGAGATCACAGGATACCAGTGGCAAAGCCAAAGGTGAACAAAGGATTGTTGATCTGCACGTCGAAGTTCCATCACATGGCAGAAATATCTCTCTTATTATCGTCCTTTGTGCAATTTATAGTAGCAGAATCTCTGAGTTACACTGGGTACACAGCTAGCTGGCTAGAGACATATTTTTCAGCCTCCTTTAAGCTAGGCATGTTTATGTGACTACATTTTAGCTATTGGCATACAAGATAAAAAGTGATCTACTTTTCAGTGATACCATGTTAAGTAAACTTCTTGTCAATTCACCTTTGTTTCTCCTTCTTGCAAGAGAGACAATAGACACGCTGTCATTTGTAAGATAGTTTTGACCATGTAGATGAAAAAAAATATAACAGGACAGTGGTTTTCAATTGGGAATAAATGTAAGACTCATGTGCAGAGCATTAGAGCTTAAACCAATTACTGGCATTTGTAGTTCACGCCCAGAGATTCTGATGCAACTGGACTGAGACACAGCCTAGAGGTCAGGTGTTAACAGCTGCCCAGATAAACCTGGCATGTTGCCAAGGTTAAGATCTCTGCACCAGGTCAATGGTTTCTTTTTCTTAATTTCTTTTTTATGGTACTAGGGATTGGACCCAGAGCTCATGCACTGAGCTACAACCCCAGCCCTTTTTAATTTTTAATTTTGAGAGTGGGATTTACTGTACTCCCCAGACTAGACTTTGGATTTGTATTCTTCCTGCCCCAGCCATTTAAAATCAGGACAGTGGTGGTTTCTTGATTTCAATATGCATCAGCATCACCTGGAGGGCCTAGAAAAAGATGACTTTCTAGCTCTTATTCCCAGGTGTCTCATTCAGTAGCTATGAGGAGAAACCTGAGAATGTGCATTTTTAACAAGTTTGCAGGTGTTGTTGCTGTGCTGGTCCAGCAACACACTTCAGGGACCTGAAAAGATGATAAAGCAGCAAGACAGATGTAGCCTGAGCCCTAGGCTGCTTTCCAAAACCACCTGTCTATTCCACACTCTTACCTAAAAGAGAGTGCAAATGTATGCTGAGCTGTAGGGGCGCCTTGCCTTGGCCCTTACACACATTCCTCAGGCTCAGTGTTTCAGTCGCAGGAAAGTAAAGATATTTAAACAATGCTCATTTCATGTAAATTTATACACCTAATTTTCATCCTCTTGCCCTTCAAGATATTCCCTACAACAGAAGAGTGCCCAGGAATGCTGCACTATTTCCAGCAAAATCAGCTCCTCACATAAGTTGGTGGCAGCAATCCTGAGTTCTGTTTCTGCATGGACCCAAGCTGGCAGCTTAGTTACTCTTCCCGCTTCAGCCACTGTTGGGCAACCCTGCCTGTCGCTGCCAATCTGCTGTGATCCAAACAATTCTGAGTGACGTCCAAACCCTTTCCAAATTGGCAGGTTTCCTCTCTCCTTCCCTTTGCACACACTAATACAAAAGGGGGAAATATTCCAACTCTTCATCTTATTTTCACGCAAAAAAAAAAACTTAGCTCTTCACCACAATGATCCCAATAGCATATGCAGCTTGGCCAATAATTTTTTTTTTTTTTTTTTTTTTTTTTTTGGATAAAATTCGGCCCTTTCCCTAACGATACAGTAAAACCAAGTGGAAGAGAATGGTTTTTTTTGTGGTACTGGGGATTGAACTCAGGACCCTGCACTTGCCAAGCAAGCGCTTATTCTACTGAGCTATCTCCCCAGGCCCTTGGCCAATAAATTTCAGTCCCAAGCTATCTCTGGTAAGATTATTTGTTTTGGTGTTGGTTATTTCTTGAAAATACTCATAGTATTAAAAGGAGGTAGGTGGATTGGGTTGGAAGACCCCAGAATGAATTCTGCCAGGAAGAGAAAGGAAGGAGCTCATGTACCTGACAAACCGGCTGAATAAGGCTGTTGTGTTCCTGATGATCCGAGCAGCCTGCGACTCCTCACGCTGGCACCTCTGCAGTGTTAATCCATCATCCATGTGGCCTTCCTGGTGGAGAATGACCTACCCGAGGACAAGGGAAGCAGGTCTGGATTACACATTACTGCATAGCCAAGCAGTCAACATTTTCTGTAGTGTTTCTTTCTTATTCCCTTCCCCAACCAATTTCCTTTGGGTCTATTTTAAAAACAGGACATTAGCAAAGTTATTTCACCCATGTGCCCTATTACTGATATATGTATCTTTCCTGAGACATGGTGCTTTGATGAAAATAAAATTTTATGTGCCAACATGGCATGAGTTACAGTAAATTCCTTGGGCCTCGATGGTCAATTTGAAATGCTGAAAATATACTTTATAGTACATTTTTCTCCTAAAATGAACACAGAACTTTACCACTGGAGAGGGGGAAAGTCACTCTGTTCAGAGCCTTTTGCTCTAGAGATAAAGTGGGAAGGAACAAAGGTAGTTTAAAGCAAAACTCTCCCCTAGGATCAGGCTTAGATTTCTCTAACTGCAGGACAGCGACAGTGGGTTAGCTAACTGGAAGGTGGGAAAGGCAGCTCAAAATGGTAGCTTGCTTCTCGCGGTGGCTGAGGAGAGGATTTCAAAGCCTGGGCTCCAGCATAAACCAACTTCAGTATTAATTCCACTGTGCCACTTGTCAGCTCTGACTTTCAATTAGACACTTGCATTTTCTTTGCTTCAATTTTATCATTCATAAATAGATTTATTTTAGAAAGTTGGGCCAGCCAAATAGCTCAGGGAATTAAAGAACCTGCAAGCAGGCACTGGGGCTGAGGTTTTGATCCCTGGGTCAGTCCTGCAGCCCTGCCCCCGGGGCACACTGAGATGGTGATTGAAACTGGGTGTGGTGGTGCGCGCCTGTAATCCCAGCTCTTGGGAGGCTGTAAGCAGGAAGATCACTATGAGTCTGATCTAGTAGTGAGACTCTGAACACCCTGTAGACCCTTCCCTAAAATTAAAAAAAAAAGAAAAAAAAAAAGAAAAAAAAAAGAAAGTTGTTTTGAGGCTTGATGATTAACATGTAAAACACTTGGCATAGCCTGATCCAGCCTCCCTTCAGCTGGGTACCACTGTATCCAGATTTATTTTTATTCTTTTGAATGTGTGTCCTGATATCTTGACATGATGAATTTACACAGAAAGTAGAATACAGCCTTGCAACATTTGTGTTCATTTAGAAAGGCTTTCCACCTCATCTCCCTACTGGGGCTTAACCATTAGGAAAGGATGCCTCTCCCACTGAACTAATCAACTGCTAAGAGACATGTCAGAACTTCCAACAGCTGGAGAACTGTGCTGCATTAAGACTTAGGAATATATTGCCTATGTGCTTACTTTCCCTAAAGACTAAAATTCTTTGGATTTGCTTACTCAGATAACATTCAAACCAGCCAACCAAACAGGAAAGTAATGAAAACTGGAAGGAACACAGTGGTCAGGGTGCTGTTCCCATGCCCAGTTCTAAGGTCCTTTTTCTTCCTTATGGAGGAGTCCCACAACCCAAGGGAGGAAGGAAGCCCAGTGTGGTAATGGGAAGGGGGGATTCCTTTGAAGGAGTTACCAGCCATCAGCCTGTCACTGTTCTTGTTCTTCCTTGGTTTTTCTATGTTTCTGCTTTGTTCATTACATAGAACACTCAGTACATACATGGACATGAAGGAGAGAAAGGAGAGCTTGGCCTGATAGTTACGGAATGGAGCAGTGTGACCCTGCCAATGACAGAGTATTAGATCATCGTATATAGAGTTTCTCCCCAAGTCATGTGCATGTTCCAGCAGTTATGTGCTTCTAAGGGCAGTGACAGGCACAGTGAATCAACAACGCAGCCTGGAATCTATCCACATGGGCAGCACTTGAAGAATCCCTCTCTCACCAAGAATCCCAGCCAAGATCTTCCAACTCCACTCTCTAGTGTTGTTATGGCCTTAGCTAAGCTGAAAAGCTACAGAGGCTACAGGTGATAACATTAGAGTATCTGCAATTTTTTTTTTTTTTTTTTTTTAATTTTAGGGAAGGATCTACAGGATGTTCAGGGCCTCACTACTAGATCAGACTCATAGTGATCTGCCTGTTTACAGCCTCCCAAGAGCTGGGATTACAGGCGTGCACTACCACACCCAGTCTCAATTGTCATCTCAGTGCGCCCTGGGGGCGGGGCCAGCAGGGCCAGTACGGCAAGCCTGGGGATCGAACCCCCAGCCCCCTGTGCCTGCTTGCAGATGCTTTAATCCATTGAGCTATTTGGCTGGCCCTGCAGTATTCTGATAGCCAGATAAGAGGATGGGTTTTCACACCTATTTTCAACTTGCTGATTCCAAGGGTGTAGTCTTCACTCTGAGCTTGTGTTACCTCTAGAACTCAGCTGAAATTTTGCAGGTCTGTCCTAACTCAGGAGTCCCTGGGCCCCAACACCTATGTCCTAGCACTGTTATACTGTCGTACCTCTGCTGGCCTTCACTGTCATTGCTGCAGCCTTCTGTTTGCTCTCTTGGCATCACAGCTCCTCATTCATGGTCAAATGGGTCCCAGAGAAAACTGCATGGAGAATTCAAGGCTGATGTTTCCATAGGTCCCTCCACTCTGGAGTCTCGGCTCTTCGAGTTCTAGAATGATTGGCTGACCCTAGATCTAAACTGACCCTCCAGCACAGTGGAGGGAACATTAGGTCCCATTGTCTACTCTGGAAATGTTTCAGGAGGAAAAACAAAGGCAATGGTGTGTTCACGCAAATGTAGTAACATTTTGCATGTGCTCATCACTGATCAGATTCTGGGCATCTTTTTTATTGGAAGCTGCAATGTTTTTCTTGTTTCTGAATTTCAGCCAGGCTTTGGAGTTGTTTTCAGAAGAAAGGCTGAGCTCATATAAGACATCTGCATGGCCTCTTATTTATTCTAATATTTATATCCTCTTCATAATTTTATTCTTTTTTTCTGGATATTTTCCTGTCTTTCTTCTTTTCTTTTCTTTTCTTTTCTTTTCTTTTCTTTTCTTTTCTTTTCTTTTCTTTTCTTTCTTTCTTTCTTTCTTTCTTTCTTTCTTTCTTTCTTCTTTCTTTCTTTCCTTTCTTCTTTCTTCCTTTCTCTCTCTCTTAATTTATTTCTTTTTCTTTCTTCCTTACTTTCTTTCCCCCTTTTGATTTTCCCTACTCAAGGCCTTCACACTGAGTTACATCTCCAGTGCTTTTTGTCATTAAGAGAACTAGGATGGGTTCAAACTGGTAATCTTCTTGCCTCAGCCTCTCAGAATCCTGGGATCACATGTATGCACCAACATGCCTAATTGTATGTTTTACTTTGTACAAAGTTAGGCTATTACATTATGGCTTTGTTTCTAATACCCTCTCACACAAAACCCAACATTCTTGGAAAAATCTGTCATTGTCACACTAGGCTGATATATCTGTACTACAGTATACAAATATGGCCAAGAACCTTATTTTGGGACTTCTTGACTACTTGAATCTGTAATTGGAAAGGGTATACCAAGAGAAAAAGCACCACACTCTTGGCATTCTTTCTCTGGCTCCTATCAAAAGAAATGTTATTATGGCAATTAACTTTCTGATAAAAAGATGCTGCATGTATCCAGGTTAGTGTCTTGTTCTGGCAGACATGATGGCCAACTCAAGCCTGGATCCATCTCAGTGGACACAGCATCATTCAATGGCATCTTCTTGTCTGCACATCAGTTTCTGTGGCTTTGTTAATATACAATCTGCATTTTCTCTGTACAGATTCTGCTCATTTTCCATATTATGAAAAGAGCATAATAACTCCATTATCCACTTAAGTGGAGGAAGCAATGATGTGGGTAATCCCAGAACAGTGAAACTACTAAAAGTCATTTAAATCAGGTTTTCAAGTGAATTAAACAAATCCCACTCCCTCCTCACAGATTTTCCACTTATGGAACTGTTTTGTTTTCTTATTATTGTGTGGGACAAGGGGAAATGCTGCCAAGTTAGACTGATGGGCTGGACAGGAGGGACCACGTACAGCCTGTCAGAGTCACTGTTAGGAAAGTAAGAAAAACACAATCCATTCCACCTCATGCTCAGAATCACTTCCATTGCCTCACTGCTCCCAATCTAGTACAAAACAACTATTGGCAGGCTTTCTGGCCCTTCACCTTTCTTTTCAGAGGTCCCAGGCGAGATGTTTTGGCATCTTGTGCTTTGTAGGTGATCCAGAGGCCACTAGCTATGTGCTGGACAAAGCAGACAGAATCTCCATACTTGATTTCTGGAACTCCCATGCCTTCCATATCTCGCTTGTGACTGGAATCCAATTTCTCCTTGATCTCCTATTTCACACAAAAAGAAAGAAACCTAAGCATGCTTGATTAACTAGAAACTCGGTGTATAAGACAAATCATTGATGTGGCACTTTTAAGCCAGAAAAATGATCAACAAAATAATTGTGATCTGCCCATCCAAGCCAGGATTTTATAAAGGCTTGCTTCTTTTTTTCTGCTGTTAATTATAACATCAGTGTATTTCAAGTTTTGGCTACCTGAATGATTATTTAAAACCATGGAAAATAAGGCAGTTGGTAATTCCTTGCTTCTATTCTGTTATATAATTCAATATATTTTCTACTTTCCACATCTTAATAAGTAATCTTTACTGGTCAATTAACTTTTTTTAGCAATTGATATCTTCCAAAATTTTAATTATTATCTTACTTAAATGTCCCGATTCAAGGACTTTACGCATATCTATTAACATCTTATCTATCTACTGATCAATTGATTAATCAATCAGTTATCATCTGTATGCCCATCTCTCCATTTATCAGACAGAAAGCTGGCAGGGGTGGTACTCTGCACATTAGGCCCTGGGATATTTCAGTTGTCAATTGTGGTTCATGGATCTTATTCGTCAGTTGTCACTATTTCAGAGCTTATTTTATCAATAGGGAAAAGGGACTTACTAATGTCTTAGGCCACCACTTGCTGACAACTGGAAACACCTGTCACAAGAGTATGTCATGAGGTACATCCCTGATGCGCAGTAACTTCTTCCCCTTCTCATCATCAATCAGGGTCTCTATGTCCCTATTATGAATGGCTCTACTCTATTTACATTTCTTTTAGACACCTTGCATGAAATTTCCCATTGTAAAAGCCATTAACTAGGCAGAATTTTGAATATTTTAGAGGATAAAAATTGTAGCAACCTGCTCCGTCTGCTTGCAACAACATTTCCCTCATTTTAATGATGGGACAATAGCAGCGCATGCGTCACACACTCACCGTGCTCCATGCAGTGCTAATATCTGCACATACACAGGTACCGATGTAGTACCAAAGCCTCTGATACAGCTAGGGATACAGTCTCAGATCCACAGATGAGAAAATGAGTAAAGTTATTTGCCCAACATCACTCAGGGAAGCAATGCCAGGACCTAACTCAGGAGGTCCAGTTCCAGGGTCTGTGCTATTCCTGTTATTCTAAACTCCTATCCACCCTTCAACACCCTGCACAGATGAGACTTTCTCTGTAAAAGCAGAATTAAATTTCTCTTGCTGTAATTCCCTAGAATAATCTCATTCTTGTGTTGAGCACTTACACAACACAATGTCCATGTGTTTGCTTACATGTCATTTCTTATGAAGGGGTCAAATTTTAAAAAAATCAGGTCAATTAATTTTGGATTTTTAATACAGAAATTCATGGCTCTCTCTCATTCTCTCTATGTATATAATTTTCTTTCACATATGTTTATTTTACATTTCAGTACATTTCTTTTCCTTAAGATCTTCCTAAAAGTAAAATTACTAAGATAATTATATCACTAATTTATATTGGTTCATTGAAAGGTACAGTTAATGTTTAATTATTTGATCCATCTTGCATACCTATATCTGGTAATCTGAGCTACTACTTTAAAGATAACAATATATAATATAACAACCACTATTAATTTCTTATCATCTTGTTTTGAAATTCTATATTGTTTTTATTTTTTTTTTTGGTTGTTTGGTTTTAAAAAATTTTTCTTTAAAACAAAAACCAAAAAAGCCATATTAGTTATTTCACACATTTTGAGCAGTATTAATACTTTATATTAAGAAAATTATTTTAAATACATATGCTGAAGCATTGACTAGATTTCTAAATATGACTTTTTGTCTCACCAAAAAATATATCCTAAGGAAGATACTTAGGACTTTGTTTATAGGTGATTATCAGAAATGCATCTGTTCTGTAAAACAATAGATACTTGGTTTCATCTCAGAAACACTCACACCTCTAGAGACATCTAAGCCAGTAACAAGTAGGACTTAGAAAATGGCTCTAATTTTATCTTTAGCCTGTTTTCTAACCATGGCCAATGCAGTAAAATCAACAGAAAACACCCATATGTTAAATACAAAAAACTACATCATCTCTAATAGCTCCTGGTTAAAATAATGCACATTCCTAAGCTATCAATGACTATGGTTATTTCATCTATTTTCTCACTCTTATTTACTTAAATATACTTTTCCAAATGGACATAATTGCTAGAGTCACTAAAATAAATGAGCCATTGTTCTGAATGGAGTAGGGTGTTCTTTGTGTCTTTGATTTTAAAAATGAACACTGGTTTCCAAGGTTCTGTGGTAGTCATTGTAGCAATAATTTCTCATTTGAAAGGAAATTGGCCACAACAAAAACTTGGAAGTGAGACAAAAATCGACACTAACAACCACCCGATTCTACTCAACAATCATGATAAATCAGTGAGGAAACGAAAGAGGTCAGTGATGGAGCAGGTTGATTAGGCTGACGGCACGCTGCTGGCTTCCTTCTGGCTTGAGCTAACTGAACGCTCCTCTCGGCTTCCCTGAGCCTGGCCCCTGATGCAGCCACATTTTGCCAGGAAACGGAAGCTTCCTAAAGAGCAGACTAATATATACGTATACAGATATTAACTCAATAGAAAAGCCTCTGAGGTAGCTAGAAATATTGTCTCCATTCTGCAGATGAGAAAATGAATAAACTTATTTGCCCAGCATCACTCAAGGAAGAAATGCCAGGACCTAACTCAGGAGGTCCAGTTCCAGGGCCTGTGCTTTTCCTACTATTCTAAACTCCTATTCACCTTTCAACACCCTGCACAGACGAGACTTTCTCTGTAAAAGTAGTGTTAACTTTCTCTTGCTACTCGTTCCCAGAATTACTTCATTCTTTGAGTGAAGGTGCTAGGTTCAATTCCTGTCCCTGGAAAAAGAAGAAAGATGACTGATCCCTATATTTCCCCCAATTGGCTGATTTGGTGCTGCCCTATGTGGTTCTGTGTGGGACAGTGTGTGCCCTCCTCCTGAGAACTGTGAGCAACAAATTTTCCCTTCAGTGCCAATCACTTCCTGACCCATGGGCTTTCTTAGTCTTAGAAATAATAAAGCTTATTCATTTGGGCCGGGGAAATAGCTCAGTAGAATAAATGCTTGCCTGGCAAGCATAGGGTCCTGAGTTCAATCTCCAGTACTGAAAAAAACAAAAACAAAAACAAAACAAACAAACAAAAAACCTTTGCCACTGCATTGGCAGCCTCTTGTGAGCTTGAAGACTTTTGAAGGGCAGAACTAGGGTTTGTCTTTGTATTCCACAGAGTGCTCTGCTTGAAATAGGTTGCAAATCATTTATTGTGTTTTATTCTGCAGGCCCTGAATTTGTGTATCAGCTTATCTGCAATAGCGTCGCCTCTGTCAGAGGAAAAGCTTGTTCTGAGGAGGAATATGTTACTTGGCTTCATGTGCTGTAGGGCGATGACCACTATCTTCTGCCTCCTCTGACAGCTTATTAAGGAAGTGCTCATGAGCTCATCATAGGCATCACATCAGCATTGGCTCGGGTCACCGAGATGCTACTCTCTGGATTGGCTCAGAATTTCTCAAAGGACAACAGGGGAACACACCCCAGTGCTTTCCTGGGCGTCCTTTGAGCCAGGCATTGTGCTAACTCTAAAATGACAGTGTCATACCCGTGAACTTGCCATGGCCCCCACAGAGCACATTTACTCACAGTACTCTACAAACATTTTCCCTAAATTTCCTCAATGGTTTACTTTATTACCATACTTTATAGGTGATAAAATTGGGGACTTAGAAACTAGCTCAAAACTACACAGCTAGTAAGTGATGATAGGCCCCACCTCTAAACATAATAGTCAAGTTTCTGCTCTTTTATTACATGTACCTCATGATGGTTCTTAAAGGTCAACATATGAACACAATTGAACCGTTTCCAAGTTCCAGAAGGGGAGAAGGAAGCAGGTAAGGTAAGTATCATGTGGCAAAGAGAATGAAGAAACCTAGAGGGGGAGCTTCAAGAATAATTAAGGACTAAGAAGCTGTATCCCTACGGGTCCATGCTCCTCAAACTCAGGATAGTAATCAATTTTCTGCAGAAACAAAGACTACAAAAACATTGAATCTTTTTCTAAGAGTCAAAGGCATTGGCAAAAGCAAAAAGTCTTATTAGTATAGGCAGTTAAATGAGATAGAAATTAATATATAGTCAGAAAGGGACTGGGCTCTCAAGGAAGTCAGTAAAAAATAAAGACATCAGAATTGTGGCTGGAGGTACATCTGCCAAACATCAAGCCTCAAGATGAAAGATGCAATGGCCGGTCTAGAAGCCTCCCTGAGGGATAAATACCATCTTGGGATTATATTATAATCAGCAGCACCTGTCCCAGGAAATCCAGCTAGGTATGTGGTCTAGGTGCATGACGAGGGCAGCTGGACCTATCCCTTCCCCAAAATGTCTGTGTTCTTTCCATGTACCCTACATGACTTGTTTCTTTACTGGATCCACATTAGCTAAGCGGCTCTCCAGTACTAGTACCCTTATGGGTTGATGGCAGTTTGACCCATGCTGTACTCACGCCGTGACTTTTTCCTGCCAAAGGGCCTGAAAGGAAACCCACTTTCAGTACCCTTTCTGTCACTCAGGAGCTATCTCTCAATAAAACTTTCCTACTCTTAACCTCTGTTCCTTAGAATTCATTCTTTGATTACCAGGAACACTAACTCAGCACACGAACTCTCACATCTATCAGGGTGAGAGTTATATTTCTTCTACATCATTATTAGATAAGAAGCAAATAAGAACAATATAAAAAAAACAAAGATGGAAATCTCTTGGAGCACTTTGCTTTCCCACATGTCCAAACCATTGTTTTGAGTATCTTTTGGGAAAAGCTGAGGTAGGTAATGGATGCCATGGCAACGCCAAAGCTGCCTATTAGAATAACTAGTCTAACATCATGTAAGGACTAACTGAAGGACTAAAAAGAAATACGACGAGATGG